CTCCCCACCTCCTCCTCCTCCTTCCTCCTCCTCCTCCTCCTCCTCCTCTCTCCTCCTCCTTCTCCTCCTCCTCCTCCTCCTCCTCCTCCTCCTCCTGCTCCTCCTCCATCTCCTCCTCAGCCTCTTCGGCCCCAGCACCTGCGGGGTAGGGGGTTGGCCGGCGCGCGCACCCTCCCCCCCCTCCCCCGGCGACCTTTTTTCCGCTGGGCCCCGTCGGCGCGCCGCATGGTGCTCCTCTCCCGCATTGCCTTTCTGCGGGCACGGCTTCCCGATGGCTGCAAGGTGGTTGTCACCTCTGCGACGCATGACCAGACCCTGGTGCAGAAAGTGAGTGTCTTGATACATCCAGACCTTCGAGTGGCTGCTGCTGCACAGCCGTTCGCGTCCTCTGCCCTGGACTGGCTCGATATTGCTGCGAAGACCATGCGGGTGGCTGATCGAGGGCATCGGCATTCGGACGGGCACTCTCGGGTGAATTTCCTGATCACGGACTCGGCCCTCCCTGTGGCTGCCCAGGAGCATGATGACGATGGCCGGTGGTGATGACGACGGTTGGCCCCCTGGACAAGATCCTGGCTCGCGCTCTGGAGGGCGAGGATTCGATGGCGCTCCTGTGGGCAATGCTAGTGGCCCATGGGATGATGGCAACGACCCGTGGTCTGAAGGGTACGGTGGCCTTCTGGCGAAGGCGCCTTGGCTTCATGGAGTCCTTTCTGTGGTATCTTTGTTCCCGCCCTCCCGCGCAACACGGACGCCGTGGCTTTCGCGCCGCAGCCGACCCAGCTAGAGATGGAGGAGGCGGTCCTGGACGTTCTTCGCCTCCTGGTACTATTCATTGTGTCGTACAGTAGGCCCCTCACCGTCGGAAGAAGCTGGTGAACAGGCCGAAGAGCAGCGTTCTATTCGCGGCAGTGGAGTTTATTGCGAGGAGCCTGATTTACCAGTTTGTGCGGATCTTCGCCTGGGTGGTGGGGGTCTTCCTAATCCTGTGGTTCTTCCGGGATATACGGATCTTCCTGGTCCTGCTGGCTATCTTGGACGTACGGATATGATTCCTGGTCCTGCGGATCGTCATGGTCGCGCTGATTTTATCAGAGGCCCTGCGGATCTTCCTGGGCGTGCGGGTCTCGTTGGTCCGCAGAACTTTTCGGAGGGCCTGCTGATCTTCGTGGTGGTGCCGATCTTCGACCAGGCTGTGGGGATCTTCCTGGTCCTGCGGCTCTTCCTGGTTGTACGGGGCCCCCTGGTCCCGCGGACCTACCTGGTTGTGCGGACCTCCTTTCTTGTCGTGCGGATCTACTCGGAGGTCCTGCGGATCTTTCTGAACGTTCGGTTATTCGGCGATATCGTGGCGATCTGCCTGGTTCGGCGGGTCCTTCTACCGACTCGGTTCCACGACCTGCTCTTGATCTTCATCGCGAGCGTCTCCCTGAGACACCCTTTTTGCCGAGATTGCCATTCGCCAGTTCGCTGAGATCCATCACGCAATCGAGCAGACTATGGCGGAGCTGACAGCTCTCTTTGAGCGCTCGAGTCCTGGAGTTCGTGATGGCCTGTGCCTTTGGCCTCGTCCGCATGCGCTGCACCCTCCTGACTCACGTTGAGCTGACGACGTCCATGCCTGGCTGAAGCACACGGATCCCTTGGGAACGTTTTCGTGGGTGTCGTTCGCCGCTTCGTCGGCGGCGCGTGGACTTCGAAGAGTATTCGCCGCGTGGGGCGGACCTGGATGATTTTGCGGAGTGCCCGCGCTCGCTGTGGCGGAGTGTTGCGGACGCTGGCCTGCATGAGTCGTACTGGAGTGTTGCTGCGCAGTAGGCCCGTGCCGCAGCCCGCCGCCAGGATGATGTTTCGTCGCTATCTTTCCTGATGGTATCGCCAGCTGGCCTCGGGTTAGGGTAATAGGGTAACGAACAATGATATAAACATCAAAACTCGGAGGTCCGCGCGGCTTTCTCGGATCGGCGCTGGACCATCCTCCCTGGCGCGCGGAGCGCGCCAAGGGCGGCGCAGAAGGCTCTGCCAGAGGGGGTCCAGAGCCGATCCGAGACATCCGCGCGGACCTCCGAGTTTTCATGTTTATGTCAGTGCCCGTTCCCCTAATGGTGTTCGTCATGGGGGCTATCGCCCTGTGCGTCGTCACACCAAGGGTTTTCTGCTCCTGCTGTGCGGCGGCTTGTTGGGCAACGGGCGTGCGGCGGGCCTTGCCCTCCCCAGTGGGGCTACCCGTCGGTCGATGGATCGGAGTCCTCCTCCTCTTTTTCCTCCTCTCCCTCCTCCTGTCCCCTCCTTCTCCTCCAAAAAATTAATCCTCCTCCTCCTCCTCCTCCTCTCTCTATTTCTCTCCTCCTCCTCCTCTTCCTCCTCCTCCTCCCTCTCCCTCTCCCTCTCTCCTCTCTCCTCTCTCCTCCTCCTCCTCCTCCTCCGAAAAAAAAAAAAAAAAAAAAAAAAAAAAACCTCCCCCCTCCTCCTCCAGCTCCTCCTCCTCCTTCTGCTCCTCCTCCTCCTCCTCCTCCTCCTCCTCCTACTCCTCCTCCTCCTCTCCTTCTCTCCTCCTCGTGCTGATCGTCGTCAACGTCGTTGCCGCCGCCGTTGCCGCCTTGTCCTCGTTACCGTCGCCGCTGCGGTGGCCGTGGTCACTGGCGGCCTCTGCCGTGGTGGCCGCCCGTGCGCGCGGTCCGCGTGGGGGGCGGCGACTCGGCAGTGCGACCTCTGCGGCGGAGGGCCCGCTGAGGCCGGAGAGCTCGTCGAGCCGTGCGTGCACACGATGCGTCTTGCGTTTGCACTGGTCCTCCTCGTCCTCCACCTCCTCCTCCTCCTCCTCCTCCTCCTCCTCCTCCTCCTCCTCCTCCTCCTCCTCCTCCTCCCCTCCCCCTCCGCATTGGGACTGGCCACAGGGGCCCCACAGTGCCCGAAGGCCGCAGGCCACTATGGCTCTGGGCCGCTCGCGCCTTGCGCAGCTCTCTCCCTCTCTCGCTTGGTAAAGCTCCAGGCTACACGCATGGCAGCGAGTAGGACCCTTCGGACAATGAGGGGCCCCGGTGGCCATTCCAGGAGGAGGAGGAGGAGGAGGAGGAGGAGGAGGAGGAGGAGGAATAATAAAAAGAAAACGAAGAAGAGGAGGAGGAGGAGGAGGAGGAGGAGGAGGAGGAGGGGGAGGTGGACGAGGAGGACGAGGAGGACGATGAGGACCCGGCTGGACCAGGACGGTCTCACAACACTTTGGCGCCGCCTCCGGCGGCGCTCCTGGGGCGCTTCGCACCCCGGGGCCAGGTTGCTGAGATCGCCCTGGCGTGCTCTGTCGAGAGGGTGTCCCGAGATGCGGGCCTCGGCGGACCCGTGACGCCCAGACCCCCACGACGTCGTGATCTCGTCGCAGTGTGGGCCGCAAGAAGCAGCGGCTCATTCTCCGGGACAGGCTGTCCACCCGGTCCTGTCTCTCGCGCCTGGCTGATTGGAAAGTAGTGCCATATGAGCAGCATCGCGATGAAAAGCTTTCCCCATTGTGGGCAACCCTTCTGTACTTCTGGCGCCTCCGGATCCAAATCCTCCGAGCCGTTCTCTGACGGTCCCGGAGCCTGCCCCCTAGGGGCAGAACGTAGCAGAAACGCCCGTCGTGATTTTTGCCACGGCGTGGAGTGGACTCGCCGTCGGGGGACCGCCTGCCGGGGGACCAAGACCTCCTCCTCCTCCTCCTCGTTCTTGTTGCCTTCCTCCTCCTCCTCCTCCTCCTCCTCCGCCGCCACGTTGCCTTCCTTCCTCATCTTCTTCCTCCTTCTCCTTCTCCACCACGTTGTCTTCTTTCCTCATCTCCTTCTTCCTCCTACTCCTCCTCCTCCTCCTCCTACTCCTTCTCCTCCTCCTCCTCCTCCTCCTCCTCCTCCTCCTCCTCCTCTATTTCTTTTCCCTCTAAATAACGCCTCTCTGTCGCACCCACAGACGCGTCGGTAGGGTGGGCCAGGCGTTTCGCTTGAGACTTCCTCACGGCTTCTGATCCTGAAGCTTGAGCTTGGCAACGGCTTCTCGGATGGAGGGCGGGTGGTTTTCAAAGCGTGGCTCTCACCCGAGCGCCGCGCACATTCTTCTTCAGAGATTCATTGCGGATGGTGTTCCGCATGTGTCTCTCGCCTCAGCGCCGTGCACACTCACACTCGTTGTAAAAGTTTGCAAAAGTTTCACGGATGGAGGGCGGGTGGTTTTCAACATGTGGTTCTCGCCCGAGCGCCGCGCGCATTCGTCTTTAAAGCTGCTAACAGTTCGAAGGACGAAGGGTGGTTCGCTTTCAAATGTGGCTCTGGCCTTGGCGCCACGCACATTCGTTTTAATCAGTTTGCGGGCAGCTTCAAGGATTCGCATGGTCGAAGTGCCAGGAATGGCGTTCTGACAATTTTTTATGGTGAGAACGCAGCTGTCACGTTGGCTCGCGGTTTCGAAGTCCCTGGGATGTCTTCCTGGTGCGATTTAGGATTGTTTAGAAGCAGCAGTCACGTTCATTCGCGACGCTGAAGTCCCAGTAATTGTGTGTTTGCCACGATTGAGGATTCTCCGACGTTTGACTTCCAATGGGGCATTTCCCGTAATTGCATAAGTCCTGCAAAGAACCTGTGAAGAGGGAACTTGGAGGGAGGTTTTTTGCAACATCGTTGATGCGTCTTGGGTTTACACTGGTCCTCCTCCTCCTCCTCCTCCTCCTCCTCCTCCTCCTCCTCTGCCACCGTGTGGACATCAGCGAACTCCAGGGAACTCCTCCTCCTCCTCCTCCTCCTCCTCCTCCTCCTCCTCCTCCTCCTCCTCCTCCTCCTCCCCTCTGGGACTGGCCCCAAGGGGCCCCCCATTGTCCCAGGGCCGCAGGCCGCTATGGCTCTGGGCCGCCCGCGCCCCGCGCGCGGCGGCCCTCCCAGGCGCGCCCCTCGGCGCGCGCGGGCGCCCGCGCGCGCGCAGCCTGCGCTCGTCGCGCGCTCGCCGCGCGCTCGCGCGGCCGCCTGGTGTGGTCCGCCTCCATGTCGGGCGCCGGCGCCCCGAGCGGGGAGGCCGAGCTTCTCGGGGGGCGGGCAGGAGTCGAGCAGTGGCGGAGCGTCCTGGCTCGCCTAGAGGCCCACCAAAGGATGGTCTGAGAACCTTCTCTTGTCTGCACGAGGTGTTCTTAGAACGTATCTGGCTGACGCCGTCTTGTTTTAGCACCTCGGGTTCGTGTTCTGAGAACCTTGCTTTGGTTCTTAGAATATTTTTTGGGTTCTGAGAACATGCCGTGGTAGGCCTATAGGAATGCGAGGACGGTCGGTCCCTGCTCAATCGGGGGCAGCCATAGTTGTGTGATGACCACACAGTGTGCTGAGTCAGTTTGGGTTTCAAGGTTTGCGGGCGTCGTCGTCGGCTCCAATGTGTTTTCCTGCCTCGGGATGCGTTCCAGCAGCTGCGCCTCGCCGAGAGCGTTTCGGGGGTGCCCGGATCGTCCCGAACGGCCGCCTGAGACCCGAGTTATGAGCCATAAGTTTAAGATTCGGGGTCACCGCACGGTTTGGGGATTTGGGTCGCTCTCCAAGGACGTCTCCGTGGGCTGGGGCCTGCAGGGTTCCCAAGTCGTGCGGTGACCGACCGTTTCTCTAGGCCTCCCAGATGGGTCCGAGTAGATAGGATCGGAAAATCTCGCATCGTCGATGCGTCTCGATGTGGAGCTCGACTGTCTCCACGCCGACGGTGCTGATACATTGCCCATACATTGGCGATGCATCGGCGAGGTCGGCACGATCCACCGACCCCATCTACTCGGACCCTATTTGGGAGGTCTCCAGATTCGGCCATCGAACACGGAGCTGGGACGGAAGACTGTCCCTGGGGAAGGGGTCGGGACCTTTGGGGCCGTGCACTGGAAGAATCACGTCATGGAATGTCTGGGGCGGGCCTCGAGCTTTGTGAGAGTCAGAACATATCGGCGAGGTTGATTCGTAGGTCGACACTGCCAAATCAAGGGTACCCTTGGGTCTCGAGTTTCGCGACTCGTGCCTTCTGCGTTCCCATGGTAATGTGGCCCTCGGAAGGGTCTTGTGTCCTCTCGCGTGTCCTCTCCAACGGTAGCGAAACCACCTCTTCGATCCCTGGTCCTCAAGCCCCGAGCCTCGAGGCCGCCGCACTGCGGAGCCCGTCTCGGAGCGCAGCCCCCCCCCCCGACCGCTGTCTAATCCTGAGTCAACGACGACGAAGACGACGAAGACGACGACGACGACAACGACGACGACAACGACGACGACGACGACGACGACGACGACGACGGCGGCGGCGGCGGCGGCGACGAGTGACGACGAGTGACTCGGCGGACCCCCAACCGTGTGGTGACCACGCCGCGTGGTGAGTCTGTGGTAACGGACCGCGTGGTGAGGTCGTTGGGGATTTGGAGGTCACCGCATTATCCGTCACCGCACGGTTTCGGGACCTCCGAGGTTCTCGGATGGCCCTGGGGCCAGGGAAGGCCCCCAGACAGGCCAAGAGTGGCCAGACATTTCTTGCCGTGTCTGTTCCACGACGCGAAGGGGGGCGGGACCTGCTGTTTCTCGCGGGCACATCCTTGGGCCTCGGGCGACCAGTCGGGACGAGTCGGGCAACCCCTGAACGATCTCGGCGAGGCGCACCTGCTGGAAGGCATCTGGAGGCGACGGCCATAGAGAAGCGTCCGACAAACTGGAGACCGTGCCTTCTTTCTCGCCGCGCGAAGGTGTCTGGGAACAACCTGGGCATCCTCCGATACGAGCGGCCCCAGGACGTCCTCCGATACGAGCGGCCCCGAAACCCATGGACCGGCAAACTCATGCCGTCGGCGATCTGGGTTTCGGGCCCTGGGGCCGTCAAGGGTCGATCCGGGACAGCAAATAAGGCACTCGTCTTCCTTCTTCCTCCTCTTCCTCTTTTTCCGCCTCCCTCCTCTCTCCTCGTCCTCTCTTCCTCCTGTCCTCCTCCTCCTCCTCCTTCCCCTCCTCCTCCTCCTCCTTTTCCACCTCTTCCTCCTTCTCCTGCTCCTCCTCCTCCAATTCCTCCTCCTCCTCCTCCTCCTCCTCCTCCTCCTCCTCCCACTTCTCCATGCTGCCACCTTGCTAGCCATTGAGGGGAGACCACTTTCTCCGTGGGCCCAGCAGCAGCTCGGCTCGAACTGCGCTGTGGCGGGACGCCCACAGCCCCCGCGCACTCTTCTCGTGAGCAGGTGGCGAGTGAGGGGGGAAGGAGGTGGAGGCAGAAGAGGAGGAGGAGGAGGAGGAGGAGGAGGAGGAGGAGCAGGAGGAGGATTAGGAGGAGGAGGAGGAGGTGGAGGAGGAGGAGGAGGACCCCCTCCCACCCCTGCTTGTGATGGCGGCGGTGGAAAACAAGCCCACCAACGAGAGAGAGGAATGACAGCCTTGAAGCACTTGTGGCAAGCGCCGCTTCAAACAAGACGAGGAAGGGGTGGAGGAAGAAGAGGAGGACGAGGAGGGAAATGAGGAGGAGGAGGAGGAGGGGGAGGAGGAGGAGGAGGAGGAGGAGGAGGAGGAGGAGGAGGAGGAGGACCCCCCTCCCCCTCTTACTTGTGGCGGTGGCGGTGGAAAAGGAGCCCACCAACGAGGGCGAGGAAGGCCAGCCTTGAAGCCCTTGTGGCAGCCGCAGATTCAAAACAACAGTTTTCTCCGGGCGCCCACGCGCCCGTGCCGGTGGCGGGCCCATACAGCCGGAAGGAGGAGGAGGGGGAGGAGAAAGAGGAGGAGGGGGAGGAGGAGGAGGAGAGGCGGAGGAGGAGGAACAGGAGGAGGATGAGGACGAGGAGGAGGAGGGGAACAGGATGAGGAGGAGGAGGAGGAGGCGGAGGAGGAGGAGGGAGGATGCAGAAGAAGGAGGAGGAGGAGCAGGAGGAGGAGGAGAGGAGGAGAGAAGGAGGGAAGAGGAGGAGGTGAGGGAGGAGGAAAGGAGGAGGAGGAGGAGGAGAAGGAGAAGGAGAAGGAGGAGGAGCAGGAGGGAGGAGGAGGAGGAGGAGGTGCAAAAGAAGGAGGAGGATGAGCAGGAGGAGGGAGGAGGAGGAGGGGGAGGAGGAGGAGGAGGAGGAGGAGGAAGAGGAGGAGGAGCAGAAGGAGGAGGAGGAGGAGGAGGAGGCGGAGGAGGAGGAAGAGGAGGAGGAGGAGGAGGGGGAGGAGGACGAGGAGGAGGAGGAGGCGGAGGAGGAGGTGTGTGAATTGTTCCGGCCAACGCAGCGCGCGCAGCATGCAGCTCTACAGGAGGAATGTTCACAGATAGTAAAACAATAGCCTGGGGACGATTTGTTTAGCATGTTTTGGTGGCTATGTTGTAGTATAGCTGTATTCAAAATCCCCCTGCAGGGGGACATGCCCGACCTAATCCTTCTTGATTTGTACGTGGTACGGGGCTTGTCTATCCAGGAGGGCCTCATCGCCCGTAAACTGGCACCTGTGGCAGAGCCTGCGCCCCAGCTCCTCCCTGCGCTCCTCCAGAACATGCTGGGCATGCCCCCACTTACGGACGGGCAAGGGCTGGCGGAGTCTCGGAGGAGGGGGCACCTTGAAATCACCCTAGAGTTAGGGCGGATCTTCCGTCGGGGGGGTCTGATAGCGCCCGCGGGGCTGCTGAAAGCGAAAATTCTTCACGCTTCGCGTATCCCCCACCACTGCTCCGTGAGTGAGGGTTCCCTCTGCCTGGTCTCGCTCCTTTCGCTCTGCCGTTAGGTCGTTTTTCTGCTGCCTACTGCTGAATTGGCCGTCGCGGCTGCATGGGTACAGGCCCCGTGCGTGCTGTGGCTGGCAAGTTGTGGCTGCTTGCGGGCGCCGTTTGGGCGGTTCCTCGTTTGCTCGCGCTTCCGTCCGCCGCTCCCGCCGCCTTCAACTGGTCTGGCCTTCTTCCCGAGTTGGCGCCGACAGGGCGGCTCCTCGCTGCATGTGCACTTCGCGCGTTCTCGCGCTAATTATCTTGCGCTGTGCCCCAGCCTCGGTCTTTACGCCCTCTGGACTTTTCCTTGCGGGCCGCTAATCAAAAAAGCATCCCCCACCAGTGGTGCGAGACAAGGACAGCGGCCCAATAATCCCGAGCGGGGCAGCGGCGACAACCCACCACCCAGGGACCACCCAGAGGACGCGACTGCAGGCAGCAACCCCCCGACGCGAGCAGATGGCGACACCAACCAGGACTGGGGAGCAGGGCCGGAAGAAAAAAGTGGGAGCGCCTCGCAGCCCCCACCGCTACAGTCTCCGGCGGGCGGTCGAATAGGCGACCGGCCCGGACGGCCCGCGCCGAGCGGCCCACGAGCCGCCCCGGTCCAGGAGACTTCCTCCCCCCAGCCCGGAGTCCAAGGTACCGGGGTTCCCCAACCGCCGACATCCCACGCGGATTGCAACGGACAGGGGGATGAAAGAGCCGGCCGTGCGCGAACACCGAATTCGGAATCAGGGAACGCCCCGCAGGCAGCGCAGGCCCACCCCGGCGGTGAGCCCAGGAGAAGGCCTCCACCAGACAGTGTCCCGAAACCCATCCAGCGACCCACTAGGAAGGGGAGACGCCCCCAGAGCAGGACCACACCTCCCGCCCTGCATGGAGCACGGGTGGAGCTCTCTTCTCAACCGCGCCGCAGAAATACTGGACCCCCTTGGCCCCACCCGCGCAGTGGGAGGGACTAGGATGCCCTGACAGAGAGATGTGGAGGACCGTACTCAGCGCCATGGCCTGGGGCACGTCCATGCTCCAGCTGGAAAGACAGGTCAGGCAGGTGCTGGCGAGAGCTCACCTAACCGACAGGCTGCTAATAGCCTTTGATACGTACTGGGCCCAGAACCCGCCAACGGGCTCCAGGAACCCCACAGGTAGAAGGACCTGGTTTCAAAATGCCGCTCTCACAGCTGACGCGGCATGCGAGATCATGCAGTCCACGACAAGAGGAGTCCCAATATGCGAAGGCCCATCACACCACTTCCAGCCTCTAACCGACGAAGCCCTCGACGCCATCCTCGCCACGACCATGGGGAGCTCACTAGGGGCGAACGCCAGCCGACTCAGGGCAGTCGACTCA